TTATATCGAAGGAAAACAGATAAGTAGTCATAAAGTTGCCTCATTGTGTTTCTTGAATGCATTGAAAGGGATTTAAGAGTTTTAAATGTAATTTATATTTTGGAAAATACATTTTGCTAAATAAGGAATATGTGACTTTTGCAGTTGTTATAACATAATTAAATAACTCGCCAACCAATAAGGTCAGTTTCTCCAAAGTGTAAACAAGATGTCAATGTTTCGCAAACAGGGTAAGCCTGGAGAACCTGTCTGTATGAAGGACGAGAAGGAGTTGAAGCCGGCGTCAATGCGGGTGCGGGATGCGGCCGAGGCTCTGCTTACAATTGTATTGGAACAGGTATGTGTACTGCATCTTGTAATGCATACTTTGGGAATATAATTTTTCAGTAAATATAAGGTTGTCAGCCAGGTTAAACCTTCGGTCCATTGATTAGTTGTGTTAGAACAACTAACTTCTGCAGGGTATGAACACTGGACCGAAGTCATAACCTGAGAGACAAAAAATAAAAATACGAAAAATTACCGTCAGGATATTGGTGTGTTACGTGGCACCGTAGCCCAGGTGACAGTCACCTTATGCTCGCCACCGTGATAAATTGAAATCTCACCTGAATGCTGATTGGCTACTCGTGGAAGACATTGCAGGCAGGGAGTCTTTTGTATATAATTGTACCGTTTGGCTTATTCGTAGGTTGGTTATTTCCCGTCACCCTGCGGCGCAGAATCACTGTGGTCTCTGCTAGATGAAGTGGCTCTTCTGAGACACTGCAACTCATGGCCAGGAGGAGATAATTTGTCGAGGGAACTGGCAGTTGACAGGTTCCACTACTTCGTTGTGGAGAACTCAACAGTGCTGGCATTGCTTGAGGAACCTCTTGGAAATGACCAAGGTAGCTCACTGTTTTTGGTAGGAATATTCTAGAAGTTAAATTGAAAGACTCCTTATTTTAGGAATTTGTAATATTTATATCTTCAGGTCTCTGAAGAAGGCACTCACCATTTTAGTTGTGCCTTAAGGTCAGTAGGCTGTTATGATTGGTTTCACTGAGAGGCTGTGGAATTGTACATGAAAGGCATCGAGGGCTTGGCGATGCACTGACATGCATCTTTCGATTCTTAAGTTTCTGTGTTCCTGGGAGTTCCTGGCTGGGACATTGAAACCAGATAACTCCAACATCACTGACACCATTCACAAAGGTCAAATTCTTGCCAGGATTGTTACGCCGTGCATACATTTTCTGACTGGTTATAATTGTGAATCAATTGCAGATCCACAACCGACAGTCACAGTTCTGATCCGGGGACCATTTGGTCGTCATGCTTGGACAATGCAACTGAGACATTTGCCACGACATAAGTCAGGAACAAAATACCATGCACCCAATCCTGGGCGACCGGTACCGATGGCTGATGTCGGAGTGCACCATGACGTGAAGCATCGATATTTTCCTGAAAATGTTGATCGTATTCCACAATGTAAAGTGTGAGTGTGTATGTTGTAGAAGATAACTTTATATATGTGCTATTATTTATTTATAGATTTTTAAAAATATTTATGTACTTTGCCAAATAGCAGTTCAATAATAGTTTAATTAATTTAAATTTGATCCTGAAACACTGTCTGTGGAAAAATGTTTGTGTTCTGTGTGAACTGAGTTCATTGTAACATATATTTATCAGGGGTGTTAGGTGTGAATGTATTGGATATGCTATTGGTGATGTTTGTGAAGGGTATTTCCCCGGTTTGCTGGGCTAACAATTTTACATTATAGAAACCAGCGTGTTACAAAATGTTACACGGAGCCTGGGAAATAATTTTATATGTTCACATGTTTATGGAAAGTAATTATTTAGGAATTGACGTGTGTGTGTGATGTGTGCGTTTTGTGTGCATGCAGGGACAAGTCTATTCCCAGTATGGAGAGTCTTCTCACAGAAGCCGGAGCAGCGGCAGAACATGCCCATCTGTCACGGTTGGTAGAACAGCAGGCTACGCTGGAAACAGCTGCAGGACAGGAGTGGTGTAAAGACGCTGAGAACCCCTTCCCCGAGTGTGTCCCACCTCCCGCCTGCCACGAATATCAGACGGCTCGACTCTTTCTCTCACACTTTGGCTTTCTGTCTCTTGATGCAGCAAATGTGAGTTAAGTCATGTTTTCATGAGTTTTAGGTATCTTATTAAGATTTGTTTGAGGGGAAGGTTTTTTCCACATATTCATTTATGCAGAATTTAGAATATAATTTGTATAAATAATATTAGAATTTTAAATTTTCATCGAGACTTGGAGATTGTTGTCTCCTCTGATCTGGAATCATTATTCTGGTTACTGAACCAAGCAGTCATTAACATACTAATCACGTAGTTATTAATTGTAAGTTTTTGCAAAAGTTATGGAAAATGTTGTGCAGGTTTTTGTAGGAATTAACAAATACTCCTGTAATAAAAATTAGTTTTATCCTGTTTTTTGATGTTGAGGTTCTGCTGTTTTATGTCAGGTGAGGAAGTAATCCTCTTAAACTGCTATTTGCAGCGTCGTTAAAATATATTTTGTATGTAATTTAGGGAAATGTGGGATCACCGTTCATGGCATTGAACACTTCATTGGACGGCTTCTGTCGTGATCTTGAAGCACTTGATAATATGAGTTCTCGTACTTGTGACACTGTTCACGTGTTCTACGTTAGAGCAGGGCAGAAAACACCTCAAGAAATTCTTAGTAATGTGGTGAGTTATTCAGTGATTTTATTTGATTGTAATATTGGACTTTTTATACATTCATTGTCAACAATTTTTATTACTATTTGGACTCGTTGAGGACTGTCCTTTCTTGTAACGGATTGTACTTGTAATTTTGCAGCAATCTGAATCAACAGTGTCTCCTCACTTCCTGGAGTTTCTGCTGTCTTTGGGGTGGTCAGTCAATGTGTTTCAGCATCCAGGGTGGACTGGCCACATATCTACCAGCTGGAGGATCACACAGCCTACTTCACGTAATGAGTTATTTAACTTTTTCTAAGTGTATGGATTACATTTGTGGGACTGTGATGATTAGTCATTGTCTTTCTTATTATAATTACGTGCATTAAAATAGGAAAGATGTCGGTATGCTCTGAGGTACGCTTGAAAGTTCTACAAAGTTCAAGAACGACAGTAAATGTTGAAAATAGATATCATATTTGTAATTTTGAGGTTCAAGCTTCAAGACCAACAACTACATTTCAAAGGAACTTTTTGTTTCTCAGAGGAAAATGCAACTCCAAGGAACCATGGCGGAAGCTTATACAATGGGGACTCTCAGGTTTTGTACTGGGCAGACGCAAGCTCCGAAATTGCATTTGTCGTACCAACACGATGTCATGAACATGATGCTTCACCGCAGTTCGATACATCATCTGAATCAACACATTTGTCTGGTCAAGGTAAACTTGTTTTAAATGTTCAGTTATTGTATTAATGAGCATTTTTTATGTCAGAATAAGAAGGAAGTATTTACTTTTATGTGCTTTTGAAAAATTCCATTTTGAGAACACTTTGTTTGCTGTCAAGCTCACTTGGTTGGGCGTTATCACAGTGATCTTTCCATTTTACAAAGATGCTGTCTACTGGAATTTAGTGTAACATAGTGAAACATTATTTAGGATTATAAATTATGAAATACACTATACATTGCTTGTACAGCTTTGACAGATGTTTCTTCATGCCGCATTCATACAAATAGTAGCTTATTTTACATTATTTTGCGCAGGCTGGTTTGAGCGCAGCGTTTCAGACAGTGCTGGAAATGCAGGTCGGGGCACTGAGAAGCCTCGAACTTTGTCCCTGGACCTAGATAAGTCTTCTGCCTCATCACCGGGCGCCATTAATGGATCAGGCCGCAGACGAACAGGAGCTGTTCGTCATCCACCTCCAGTACATTCCAATACAAAAGTGCTGGTCTTCTGGACAGAAAGCTATGAGGATCAGTTGCAGTTACCTCTAAGTAAGATTCATGTTTTGAATCATGCTATTAATTGGATGACCAAGGTTTGATTCCTGACAGGGCAGAGATTTTTTCTCTTCCTCGCAGCATCCAGATTTGTTCTGGGTCTTCCTAGCCTTCAGTCGATTGAGTACTGGGGCCCTTTCCCTTTTGTAAAGTGGCCGGGATATGAAGCTGACCATTCAACCTCCATCTAGTACCAACATTAAGAATGAGTGGAGCTATATACCTCTGCCCCTCCATACATCGTTATGACGTGACTTGAAGAATAGGCCAATTTTTCTAGGAATGTTACAAATCTGTATTGAACATAGTGATGAAGCACTTCGAGATGCATACTTTTAGTGCATAGTGTTAATTAGTAGAACATTGACTGAGGAGAAGTCCAGAATGAATTGCCATCTTTACAGCTGATTTGATGCAAGCCACAACCACTGGTCTTGAGGGTGGCAGTAGCAGAGGACTGGATGAACGTGACTACTTTGTCATATGTCTGAACGCTTTAGCCAGCGGACTGCTGCGGGTAAAGCTTCAGGGTCCAGCAGGTGGTCGCACCAGCCTTGCGACGCCACTGGTCGACGGAATGGTGGTAAGCCGTCGAGTTCTCGGTTCCATGGTACGTCAGACTGCGCTGAACATATGTCGACGCAGGAGGCTTGACAATGACAGGTATGATTGTCACAATATAACGCGCAAAGCTACTCCTAATGGGGCTCTGCCCTGCAAGTACGTGTTCTAATTTATGGGAAGAATGTTTTGTTCCTGCGATGCTATGTAGTGAATAGGAAATACTATTTCTGTAGTCTTGTCTTGGGGCTAAGATGATTAGAACTTGTGTTGACAGGCATCCAGGCAGAACAGAAATTGTGTGCTACATATTTTTAACATTTTATGTTGGTATAGAAACTGATCCAGAAATTCTAGTTCATTAATAGTATAATGAGGTGTTTTAAACCTTTCCATGCCTGAGAAACAATTGAGCTCTGTAATGTAGATTCTGCTAAGGTTCACACGATCTGGTATGGCTAATCCTTCAAGGCTGCTTTTCTGTTGTATGCGATTCATGTGCATTTGATCTGTAACACTTCGTGCTCCATGTCTTAGTCGCATTTGTCTCTGTTGTGCTAGTTTTACAAAAGATCCTGGCAACTGATGCTTAGCTTTGACAGTAGAGGGGTTCAATCATAAAAGTAAACTTTCCTTTTTTGATTTCAGTTACCAGCCACCTCATGTACGGCGACGCCTGAAGGTACAAGAACTAGTTCAGAAGTACCGATGTGAGTTGAGTCATCCCGAGTTGCTCACGTACCTCTTTAGTGATCCCCCCACTTAGCTGAGTAACAGTTACTGCAGTCAGGTTGGTACCTCATGCCATGTTTTTTCTGCGTGTGAGAAGGCAGACTATCACATGAAGCGACGGTCAAATTATATTTGCAATTTGCAGTGTTTCCGTAAAATGTTTGTTCTGAATCTGTGAGCTTAAAAGTAATTGTATTTATTTTGCAGATTTGCATTAAACTAATGCGGATGGAGGATCGTGGTTCATGCAGAGTATAAGTAACTTTTACAAGTATTCATTGCAAGACAAAGTCTGGCAAAATAAAGGTGACTTACCTTACAGAATCTCTTGGAGGTACTGTGTAAGGTATGCAAGTGAATAATGTATGTGTGTGTACCAAAGAAGTGCCCAGAAATATATAAATTCAGACACTAATTTGGAGTATATTCTTTAATATAATATTTACCAAGCACAGGTTGATATAATAACAGTTTAGGAGGTACCCAGTTTGAGACCAAAGTTTGCAGTGTTCTTTGATCTATCGAGGTAAGTATTGAGCAACCATTTTGTTCTGTATCATACCTATTCATTGGGCATGATCATATTCCCATGTAATTTGACGCTACATAACCTCTGCATTCAGAATAGCGTCATCAAATAAGTTAACCCAACATGAGATGAATTTATAAGAATGTGGACTTTATTTTTGCTCCTAATGTTATTAAGAGGGGAGACTACATCTATATGGAACTGCAGTTACTTATGGGCACATTCAGCAGCCCCCAGATGTGAATATGGAGTAGCTGTAGAATGATACTGCCAAGGGAAAGAAAATATGTAGTAACTCATATATCTTTAGATCATTTAAGACTTATGTTGTTATGTTTCCCATACCCTCAAAGTAAAAGAAAAGATTTTTTCTAATCTTCTGGGTGTCCATTCTTTTGCGGCTGAGCCAACACACTTACAGCAGATTTGTTCTGCTAAAAATCACGATATAAATATACCCACTCCCACACTGCGTGGATATGTATGAACCAAAGCATAACACAAGCATTATATCAAAACTGATAAATTTATTTATTCATATATTGTGTTCAATGATGTACTTACAGCAAAGTTATGTATTAAGTATCACATTCATACTTTATTTACAATGTATACAACACATACAGAGAAGAGATACCATCCTGTCATCATTATTTTAACTCTTACTCTGTACCGCACCTTTACGAGAAGCAGTTCAGTTCACATCTGCTTACTTATAGTGACTTGTGGAACTCTTATGGCACTGTCAGGAACAAAGGCACTTTTTAGCAGTAGTGTTGTGCACTAACCCACCATATTAACTCTTTATTTTGCATGCAATGAACAGCCACCTTTCTTGAAATTAGTGTCTGTGTACTATTAGGTTATAAAAATAAATGGGATACATCAATTGGGATATGTAGCAGGGCAGCTGTTACAGACAGAAGCAAAATACTTTTCTATTTTCGAAGTTGTGATATCTTAAAAAATATTCTACTGTTAATTGTAAATCTAATGGGGAAAAAACAATTCATATTACATACACAGTACACTCTTCTTGCAGATTATCCTGTTTGCAAACTATTAATGCTTCATTATTTAATATAAAGAAGGTTTATAAAACAGCCTTACTGTTGTGTACATCGGTACCAGAAATAAGCTTCGGATTTTGTAACTTGTCCCAGAGTACATAGCAGGTTAGAGGGGCGTCTTGAAGACCAGACACCATGATGTACTTATAATCACAAAACTGACATAAAGTGTATTATTTGCAAACAAGATAACATTTTCTATGATTCCTGTTTCCAATTCCCTCCATTAGGTTGGATAATGAATAAACATGTTAGGATAAAGGTAAAGTTGACCGTGGTTAGGGTGGTTTAACGGTAATGTTGGAAACGACGGAAGTAGGTGTCACGAGTAGAAGAGTTTCCAAACGACTCCACTGTGAAGCATCATCCATTAATGAAGGGGGCAGACAGGCTGTGTTCTCCAGACATTAGTTATGATAGTAAAGGAAATTGCAAGTACTTGCTTATTCTGTTGCGACAGTCATTTCAGGTCTTGTCACTAGCCTGAACATCACTTAAGTGTAAGTACGGTGTGAGGGCCAAACATTACAGATGATTGGTCATTGTTTCTGTATCACATTGAGAAGACGCGATTCTTTGTCCATAGTTTCCGTGGTACCTAAACGCAACTTCTACGATAGTATTTAAAGTACTCGCTCCTATTATCTCCCATCTGATGCTAGTAACGCTCCCCTTTCTAACAGTCTTCTACATTCACTCTTCTATCTGTCCTCTTCTTTATCCGTGTCCACGTCCCTTGCAGTTGGTACCACTGACGAGAAGGAGTCATTTCCTAAGAGTTTCTCAACGTTGTCTCCCTCCCAACTGTTCCTCAATGTTATCGCTACGCCAGAAAGTATCAGAAGGGCACCAATTCCAGCCAGTCCAAAAAATGTGACCAAACCAATCGTAGGAAGATTGATTAGAAGCTTTGCCAGGTCCGCCAAACTATCCGTGAGCTCTGCAGACTGTGTGAACCACAGTATAGGAATCATCACCTTGGGGACATCTTTAAATAGCCTGAAAATAAGATGGGTCAATTTAAGGCTCAGAAATTCCTAAAGTTTCCAGTATTGATGCAACAAGTGAGGCAAATTATTATATAAACAATGGAAAGGAAGCTTTTTTGTAGCAAGGTGAGATTTTAGGTTCTCATGGTGAGGATTATGAAGACTGCTGTCTTCAGGAATGTTACTACTCTGAAATGTTGGTCACTTTCCCAGATGACAGAAATCTCCATTGTAACAAATAGGTCATATTAGAAGCTACCTATTTATTTGTTTTGAAATTTTATATTGGTTTTCTAAATTATAAATTAATCATATATTTAATGCCCATATTAAATCATCAATATATATCAAGATATTAAAAGTAGATTTTGAGGAGATAGTCATAGATAATTGTAACACTTCTATGATGACAGACTTTTTAACCAAGTGTTAATCTTGAACATTTAAGACAAAATAAATGCTCTATTTCAGTTCTAATTTTAGATTTACAATTTTTAAACTCAACCTGCACTAAGTTGTTAGTCTCAGGAATTTTCTGTCCTGACTTTCAGCCATGCAAATAGATTTAATATCTGTAGGATGGCAAACTCATCTTTGTTTAAATTTTGTTTGAAATTAGATTATTCCACAAAAACATATCTTGAAGTATCACAGAGAAAAATTATAAACAGTTTGTGTCTGCATGATGATAGCAGTGTTGTGGGACAACATATCTGGCTAAATTACATAGGTTTTGTACATTGCTATTAAATAATTATGTTAAATTACTTCATCTCCGGTACATAAAAATGTATAGAATTACTAAACTTTCAAAATGGGCCACAAAAAATGTAACCTTTAGTCATATAGTGCACATTACTAATCTAGGTGTTTGAAATTTTAATCAAACCTACCAACCTTCATTTCCAAATTTTACACAAGCAATGTCAAATGACTAGTAAAGTTTCTAATCATAACAACCACAATTATCTTCTAAACTGAAAAATTTCCACTGCAAAAAAAGACTTACTTCGAATTTATGTATGGGCGTAAGAGGATATTGATCTGCATACGTGCTTTCACATCTAAAGGAATGCCAGTAACCTGAAATATCGAGAATACAATGTTTATTCTACATAGCAAACTATACGTATAAATGTTGGAAAATCAGAAATAAGGGTGGCATTTTTATGTTAAACTGTGGTTTTAGTTTGTCATCTGAATAGTATCGATGTAATAAGACACACATAAGAAAGACAATACATAAAAATTTTAATACACATAGGCAAAGCACTATTCACATCATGATCTGAATAAGAAATTAATTAAGGACTGACGTTTGATAAACTTCTCCGTAACTCTGAACTCAGGTTACAGATTGGTTAAGTCGGTGCATTATCTGCTGAATTGGCTGCAGAAAGGCATCTTCCCGAGTGTGGCAATGATCTTAAAAACTACAAGTATTTTAGATTTAGGTAGAATCTGAGGTTCTCATGGCAGCGAGGAAGATAGCCATCTTCTGGATCGTAATGCTGTGTAGTCTGGTAGAAGTCTACTGTCTTTCCAGAGGTATCTGCTGCCTTGCTGTAATGATGGATGCAGCAAGGACTTCTGAAATGTCGGTAAACTACTGCCAGACTACACAGCATTACGATCGAGAAGACAGACATCTCATATTTTAGGTTTCTTTCTAAAGACAAAAAATATAGCCATAAAGATGTTGCAGATTAATGCTAACATGTTATTTACCATAAGCAGCATTTATTTCATAATATACTTACTGGTTCTACAGCAATGTAGAATTCATGCAGTTCTTTACTTGGATTTAATCCTTTTATATATTGTAAATAAATGGGATCCGCCTCATAAAAATGTGGGAAGGAAATAAATGCAGGTGCTCCAAAACGACACTTTGAAATGCCCCTTACACCACTCGGTACACATTCTTCAACACAGTCTGAAATTTTATTTACACCGATAAGTTGACTTTTTGCACAGTAACATCGTTTCTCGGGATACTTTGTCCCATTGTCAAACACGCTGTCATCCCCAACAAACCTACAACAGAAGAACGCAACATTGCTCTACACTTGCAGCATGAAGGCGGGATATAAAACAACTTGCAAAACTGTAACAACAGTTGTAGGATTCTGTCTTGTAGCTTTAGTTTCATCTGTATTATCTAATCAGTATTAACAAATGTCCTTACTTGTAGGCTTCTAGACCGAGTCTTGAAAATGAGTCAACTGATTTCACAAGTTCTAGGGAACTACAGACTTCAGATGCAAAAAGTCCGACTCTGTCGGCATTTTCCATGGGTGGGAAGAGCTCTCCGGTTGTTCCAGTTATTCTTCCACATTCACCATCATAATATGGGGGACGTTGCTCATAATTCCATGCATCCATTATACCGAGCCAGTCAATATTATTTGTTCCTGTGTGTATATTGAACACCCCATCATATGTTTGTGAATTATTTCGCTATAAACATACAAAAAAACAAAAGTAAAGTAAAGCAGTCCCATTGTATGCCATGTAGGTGCTTGAGGGGTGGGGGGAGAGGAGATATAGCTCCTAATCATTTCTAATCTCAGCACTAGGTAGGGGTGAACGGTTAGCGTCACGCCCCAGCCACGCTTTAACCCTGGGAATGGATCCCGGTGCCCTTTGGAGAGGAGGCTGGGTTGGCCCCAGATCTGGTCTGAATACAAAGGCTAGAGGAAAAAATCCTCTGCCCCCATCAGGGATCGAAACCTGGTCGTCCAGTCTGTAATCTGTCAATATACTGATTGAGCTACCCATCTCACTCGCTAGAGACATCCACATGAAAAAATAAATGTCAATGTAATCAATTACATTAAAATGTAGTTTTGAAAACTTTTTTAATGTACCAGTGATATTTATTTCCAATTAAAGTACCTCATTCTTTCTGTACACAATCACAAACAGCATTTTATCGCGTTTTTAACACAATGTAACTCTGAAATTTATATTTAAACACTCATTTCTGAAAAATAACTGGTCTAAATAAAAAAGACACTTGACTTTCAAATACAACACAAGAAAACACTTTTAAGGGAAACTGAAATGTACAGTAGTTTAATTCTGCTAAGACTGTGAAGAAGAAAGAATGAAAAACCATATTGTAAATCTGATAGTGTTAACAGCGCATCAAGTCAGGTTTTATGAAAACTTCAGACAAATATAATTCTGAAGTTGTAAAAATTTTGCAATATCTTTCTTTTGTACACAGTAGTACACAATGTACAGAATGTGAAAATATCTGTATGTCCTCTTAAAATGTTATTTTACATCAACGCAGTGTTTCATACTTACCGGGTAGAACCATCCAAACTTATCGAAGGGAACATTGAAGTCTGAGACATTCAATGTTGCTGTAATGTTGAGTAACTCATCCTCATACCCCTCAAACATAAGCTGACTTACTGTCTTTGTAACAAACAGTGGTTCAGTGTTCTTCACTAGCGTGTCCACAATTATCTGTACCACGGGATTCATGTGACGAATCATATATTCCACAGTCTGCGACAAGAACATTTAAAGTGTTAAAAACATTCTGCCTTTCACAGACACCTGTATTATACATTTCTAACGATACAGTGGAACATATCTATATTATCAGTTTTTTATAAACTGAAAGGGAAATGGTCATGTTCTGTACATTGCATTCTGACGTCATACTGCTTATGTTTGATGATCTTTCAGAATTATAAAAACTACAGAGGGGAGGGAGGAAACCGATGAACACTGCTTTTCCCATTATTTTGTATAACACCACTCCATAATAAGACAAACTCATGTCCCACACTTTGACAAATTCACCTTTTAGTTTTCCATTGGCAGAACACTCAACTCCATGTCATTAACTTCTTCTTCTTCTTCTATGGCCCTCCAGTCCGTATTCGATCCATGGCCTCCTCAATTCCCCTCTTCCATTCGGTCCTCTGTTAGGTCCGTCTGTCCGAGGCTTTGATCGAGGTTTCGAAACGTCTTCCTTTTTACAGTGCAAGGTTGTTAGCCTTGCGACCAACGCCTAACCTGGAGGACCAGGGTACCTGTCTTAGTCTTACCTCTCCCCCTCGACCAATCAGGCTTGGGAGGCCCTACCAGTAGCTCTTGGGGTCACTGAGGTACCCAAGCCCCGCCACCACGACAAGGTGCAGGTACCATTAAGTGGGGCCATGTTATTAACACTTGATGAAATCCTGGGCAGTATTATTATATAATAATTCAAGATAGGATCCAATGACTGACTTCAATAGTGTCGGTTATGAATAGTTGGGTGAGATCCAAACACATAGGTTCCTCGAACTGGCGAATAACCACTGACCAAGATGTGGTACTGTGGAATTTCATGTCTTATACATCACATATTCTGGATGTGAAGGATAAAGGTCACATCTAAATTACTAGTGACATGTCCTGCATAAAAACACATTAAGATTATTTAAAACATACTGAATAATTAATTACCACTGCAATAACATTAATGTTGGTTATCTCATCTCTCAGCGTTCCATTTGAACGGTCTGGCTCAAAATGCCATGTACGGATCTGCTCGAAAGTAACGGTGTCGTTCTCATTCCATACAATATTCACTTTTTTGTGGTGTTCACTGAAAAAAAGGAACAGATTATTAATTATAAAAACAATAAATGCTTTACATTAAACCTTTACTGTCAAGCCAGTTTTAAAATTTCATTAATACCTGAAAATATATGGACCCATCTCTACAAATTCTGGTGCCACAGTCTGCGGACTCTGCTGAAATGCTTCAGCATTTGCGCAATTAAAGAAATAGACTTCTATGTACATTGGAATTGGCGTCTCTTCCCACATCGAAAATGACTTAGACGTGCTCGAAAGACCCATTTCCTGCAATGAAACAACTGTTTGTAAGTTCCTGCCTTCTTTTTTCCATTCAGCTTGATTAATGCGAGTTGGGTGGGGAAAAGATTTTAGTTAGGGAATGGGATGACAGTCCGTTCTGAACTGAATAGTGGCGTACATTACCCAAAATCTAAAATCTGCTCATAATTTCTTCATGAAAGTAATTTTGATTTGTTACTGTTGTTTCCAGATATTTTAAATAATTTAAGTATGTTATGGTTCTAACTAGTAAACAGGAGTTATGGAAGAATAATTTACATGGTTATACTCACCCCCTCAAAAATTGAGGTAACAATTGACAACCAGACCCCTCCCATCACACACCCTATAACAAGTAATGCGCCTCCGATCCCAAACACCAAACCCTTCTTTGTGTTCACTGATAGTGCCATGGTAGCAGCAAAAAGTTCTTCATACAGGGAACAACCCTGAAAATAAATTCATATACACCATGATGCTGATTAGTTGATCACTACTGTGTTTCATCTTATGTTAAAGAATCCCTGCAGTTGATGAACAGTCATTAAATAACCATCCATTCAGAATATGTGCAGTTGAGCAACTGAGCAGAAACTCATCAGATTTTTTATAGCAGCATGCCATCCTGAAGGGTATGCACTCACCCAAAATTTCTTGATAGAAAATCCTTGCTACAAATGAAACATTCATACTTTGGAACCATGTGGTCACAAATGATCCTTTATTTAAGTACTAGAAAGTTCAACTCTCTGTAAGATATGGTTTAACACATTAAATCTGAGGTTCAAGCAATGTGACGATGACACTGGTTATGTCTTGTCTCCTCTAGCAAATAACTTTTTATCAAGTACTGCATTTTCTTAAAAATATATTTTGTATTTGTACATGTTGGTCTGACAAATGTATAAACACAGCAATAATTGTGTGTTGATTACTTGATAGATGACACATCACCATTTATGTATGTGAGTAAAAATGCAGTGTGTAGTTGTTGACATCCTACTCACGTGTTCCAACAGCTGTTACTGAAATATTTACAGTGTCCATTGTTCACTCACAATCACTCTAATCTAATTGGTTGCTATATTAAGACACTGTCATTACTAACCAACTGTGATGTTGAGTCACGATCAGTTTGGGGTTCAAACCTCAAAAAGCAAATCTTCACACAATGATGTCTCAGGCCACTTGACTTTAAATCAATAGAAAACCTGGCAACTGTCACCCTTCTAGCACCAAAAATACATTATTTTTTTCTGACAGGTTAAGCAACGTCTGCGTCATACTTTTTAAACGCAGTCATTGTTTGCTGTTTCATTACTTTGATTAACTTTGTTACACGTAATCAGCACAAACGAACATCATAGGTTCGAGAATATAATACTCGTGAAGCCTGTGACAACCAACCACCATGTCTGCAGTTAAAGACACATGAAATCCTTCTGCACATTCCATCAATTCGCAGATACAAGCCCACAAAAAGCTCACTTTCTTCCCGAAACTGATTACCACCATCTGTGCCACGAAGCTTAACAACACAGACCCTGGTGACCCAATCAACAGCTGTTTACCTCTCACTACGCATTAACACGCAGCAAGCAGTTTTGGACACATTACCTGTAAGGTGTATTGTTGTTTTGGAGCTGTCCATCTTTTAAATTATAAAATAGTGAAACTACAACGTTTCGGAAACTGGATTTGCTCCAGTCTTTACGTAAAAAGGGAGGCGAAACTGTGGAGACTAGCAAAACCAGGGAGCCCAACAGATATCGTCGTCTCTCTTTTCACCTGATGACAGAAGTAGAATCCAGCTACGAAACGTTTTAGTTTTATAATCTTATAATTTGACAATGACCAAAGGAACAGTTTTACATAATAACGCTCCGTTTTCAGAAAAATTCGAATTTCGACAGATAACTTGTTTTGGATTCTCAGATAACGTTATGTTGGTACTTATAGTATTTTCCGGTTTATGGTATGGCGCAGAATTTAAACCGAGTTCTACATAACAAAATACAATAAAATTTAAATTCTTTGTATGTTTTCATTTTAGGCAGTCGTGCTTTTACTGTGGCCATTTAGAATAAAAATTGTATGGGGGTATAGTCTAAAACATTGCAGGATTTTCGAAATAAACTTGTATTTTGTAGGAATGCTAACCACTGCTACACACCAAACCATCCAAAGGCAGGCAAAATTTCGGATTGGCGATTAAACGTACAATACTTTTTAAGACGGTCGATAAACGATAATTCATATAATTAATGTCTTCATTGAGTGTCGTGCAATGAACTTCGACTTCTTCGTGAATCGACTTCCCCAGTATTAGAATGTAACGTCAGAATTATGAATTCGTAATATTCTACCCATGAATCATAGTGTCATTTGGAACTTCTTGTTATATATTACGGCTAGAGATTGTACTGATGATTAATACTAGGCCGTCACAATACATTCTGTAGGGTTCCATATGGGCAGAGAAATATTTGCTCCTGATGTCCTCTGAAGAACACAAAATGTTTGCTCTGTTTTGTACAAAACGTAGTGAGAGGAATGTATTGTACGTTGTGCAATTTCACCGTTGAATTTAAAAGAATTTGCCATAAATGTGTTCAAATGGATGCCACGGAGTCGATTAGACAATCGATTTTTTCTCGCCATAAAACAATCGCCGGAATTTGTTTCAAAGTCACAAGAGACCGCCGACTGCATACAATTGTTGCCAACATATAAAATCAACATAGTCGCTCCAAAATGTTAGTATCTGTGATAGCGAATGAACAAAATATCTAAATGGAAAATACATGTAGCACGCAGGTGTCATTTATCACACCATGTAGTGGTCGTAATTGCTACTTACTTGGTGACTAAGCTTATCTGAAGCTCAGTATCGCCATATAACACAAGGCCACTGCCCACGAGAGCCAGTTCTGCGTTTTAAAATTAAGTAAAATTCTCCTCTAACAGCTACTTAAACGCTTGCAACATTTTCGTGTGAAAACTTTTTAAAGTAATTTGGTAAATGTGTGAAATACGTGTATTTAATAACTGTGCCGTATGCATTTCTTAAGACTCTGAGCGTAAACAGCGTTAAAAGTTGATCTTTGTAATGGTGAAGAGTTGTGTTTTCTTCGCGGTACGGACTGAATATTTAAATAATATTTAGACGAGCTTCGGCTTCAGAGGGTTAAGTGAATTCCTTCGTTGTGGTAAGGATCGTCCACAGAGGGTACGGCCCCAGATTTGGAAGGAGAGCAGTCGCCTACAACCGACAAGGGGTGGTCCCTCAGCTTCTGAGTTGGATGTAGGGTCAATATAATTTCACCATAGCAAATTTTTGTAGCAAAACTATTAAAGATTATAGAATCAAGGGGACTCTGGTAAGCTTCGCATGTGTGTGTGTGGGATTGAGAACACAAGAAATACATGCAGAATTTTGAATAGCGAACATCTTGGAAAACGCCCACACATAATACCGTGAAAGGGATTGGAGGATAAAAATTAAGATGGATCTTAGGGAGACAAGTTTGGAGGATTGCGGATGGATGAAAAGGGGTTCAAAATTTCGGAACTTTTGGTTCTGCTACCACAATATTAGCTTATCAATTGTGCTTATATCTGTAGCTTGAAGATTGTTGCACCTTTTATCAGTAACGTTTAATAAATCTTCTAACATTATCACGTGGATTTGTATCGAGTCATTGAAAGTAACAAATAAGATAATCTTATCGCCACTCCGTGAATTTTTTGGAATCATCATATAAAAACTCAGCTCCTGTTTTATGGATTTTACATAAATTATTTAAATAAGTCTGATATATCTCGTGTTGTACTCTTTTCCATTAAATTGCTTCGTTAGTTGTGACTGATGCAGATTGTTTTTAGCGATCTGGTCGGGAAAATTAAAATTAAGGAAAACTGGGACTTGAATAAGTTGACGAGAACTGATCCCCGGTCTCTTCAATACGACAGACATCCGAGGCGTTCAGGAGCCTTTCGTATTATCATTACGCCTACACGAGCAAGTGAGGATTACGTTTTAATGAAGTCCTGTTTTCTGTGTCCTTCACGTTCTGTTATTAAAAAATGTGAAGTTGATCTTTGCCTTCACGTGATTAAGCAGAGAATTCTTCATTACATGGCTAAAAAGACTTGTAATTATGATGTTGTTTGCTGAATTTTATCAGTCGATAATCGCTTAAATGAAGAAGAGAGACTTTGTTGAATGATAATATTGTTTATAAAACTCGTTAGAAGCACACCTCTTTTTGTAGGAACGACAGATATTCAAGTTTTAAAAAAATACGAATGAAAAACTGTTTACGTGCTCACGTCTACTTTGAATCTAATAAAGTAACGGAAGTAACTGCGAATAATGGACCGGGAAGGACAGGGGAGTGACGTTTTAAAGCTACATCGCGAAATTTTCTTAGAAAGACTGTATTTTTGGAACACGAGCTAGGAGTGAAGAAGATGGCTCTCACATGGGATATTGGCCGACGTTTCAGAGGAGCTTGCAGTGACAGTCATCTGGGCGATGAGTACACTGATGATGACAGTAATCTCCTCTGAAACGTCGGCTACACGGCGTGGGCCGGCTTCATAATCGTCTCCGCGAGAACTTGGACTCTCACGAGTCCGAAGTGTTACAGTTGTACCAATTTACTCAGTATTATCGATTTATTGATTATTTGCTAAGTAATAAAGTGCATGGAGCAGAAATATTTTTGAAAAGCTAGTAGTCGCTCAGCGAGGCAGGGAACTTTACAAACAGGAGCTTCGTAATTTGCATCCTTTACCAAACAGCATATAATTAGTGTAATCAATTAAATAATAATGAGATGGGTGATATATGTATGAGAAATTCATACAGTATTTTAGTTGGAAAATATGAAGGGAACAGAAATAATGAGATCTGTGCAATGACGTGAGAATAATATTAAAATGAATCGTAGTTAAACAGGTCTAGGATTCATGCGGCTAAGAAAATGGTCTACTTTTGGAACCTTCGGGTTACATAAAAAGCTGGGAATTTCTCGACCTACTCAGTTACTATCAGCTTCTCAAGAAGAACTCTGCTCCATGGACTTCGTCAGCACAAACTTAAGTAGATTTGATACAAATTACTAAGGAATGGAGCCTATTTTATTGTTTTTGTGCGTATTATCTTGGGATTATATCACATAATCAGTCATGGCTCAACGCATTGTCTCGGACGTATTTGTTCATGAATTAGTAAATAATGAAGGAAAAAAACGCGGATTATTGAAACCCACATATCATTTTCAGTTCGTCAGTCCATAACTGCGCCATTGTGAGCTGCCTTATATAACATGAGATTAGAAAACAAATATGCACGGTGTCCTTCGCATCGAAATCGTTTGCTGCTGTTCGTGAAGCATTTATCAGTTCCTTTCCTGACGAGGAAATACCGAATAAGACAACATTACACCGACTGGTAATAACATTTCAGGTGTCTTGTGGAAGACGGTGGATATTTTAGCATATTCTGTAACGCTGTTCTGTAAGTTCTTTCTCGTTAAAAAAAACAAAGAGTAGTTCCTTTGTCTTCTTAGACAAATGTCACCAAAGCTTACAAACGTTGTTTGTAGATGGGGTGGCGTTTTAAATTGAACACCCTGTACTTACAAAAATATTGGACAGTTTGTGGTTTAAAGTATCTTTTACAGGCTAACTCGTTTGAAAGGCGATGACTAAGACGTGCAGGTTTGATTCCACAAGGAAAATATGTTTGTTACGTATAATCCACAATTAGTCACAAGACAATTTTCGCAAATGTGAATAAATCTGCTTACTATATAATTCCTAGATGAAGATAGAATGATTACGCAGTAAAATTCGCCATTGCAATGAAAATTTACAATAAATAAAGCATAATCGGCATTTGCTAGTGTCACGTCAGCTCTCGGTTACACATTGTCACAGGATTTTACCTACAGTTTCAAAGTCTGAAGTCTAGCCTGACTGCACAAACTGCCCCAACCATCTACAGCCTAGTAGGTAACAAAATGTATCACCAATTTTATCTTTCAATAATTGTATTTTTCCCACAGAGTTAATTCTTCAGGTTTTGTATGGTTTTCAGAGTAAACAGCGATTATTTCCTTAAACAGCGTTAACCACTTGGTCTTCGTAATGGTGAAGTGTAGTGTTTTCTTCGCGGTACGGGCTGGATTCTTAAAAGAAACTACAGGACAAAATAAACTGATTAATAAGCTTACGTATGTCACACAAGGCCATACAAGTAATTTGTTCGTGAATTTGAGTTGTTGAACTCCTGAGCCATAACGACTAGAGAGTAATAGGACACATGCCAGAACTATTTGATAAATAACTAGCATTTCTGACTTAGATAAATAGGCTCCGACTCATTCTAACATATGTCTGACCTTTAAAAGCCTGTTAAAAACTTATGTGAAAAGTAACACATGGATTTGTAAATAACTAAAAACACGAATAAGTTATAACATATGAGAAGCTGGCACTCATTAGACTGACGTATT